TGTTCCAGGCCAATCTAGCAATCTTATGTCTGCCAGGTAGATGCAGATTCTGTTGGTGACCCAGGATAGCTGCAGTGCCTGCAAAAACAGACACTGTCTGTCCTTATCAAAATAAATAGCATCCCTGCTGAATAGGCTTGTTTATTTGTGTTCACCTAGCCCAGAGTAGATATGTACCAGCTAGTTTGGTAGTAATAGCCCTGAACATATAGTTAATGTATTCTATTGCGTCAGTAAACACACAGGTTTAATTAAAAAAAGTCAAAAGTGGTGAATGCAGAGTACAAATCCAGAACACACTGACATTTTGGAGCATGATGAAGCAGCCTGCAGCACAGAACTATAAGAAGTGAAGTGGACACAGTATTCCCACATGCTGCCTTGTGTAAATGCATAAGAAAGTGCAATCATTTAGAATAAAGGAAACAATGCAATGAAAACGATAACATATTTGTCTTTTGACTCCTTCAGTCAATATCACAACCTGCATACAAATATATGAACTTGTTAAAGTCCAAATTTAAGCGTGTATAATCATAGTTGAAGACTGCATGTAAAGGGTAAGAAAAACTAATGAAGGACAAAAATAAAGTTTGTAGACAACATCAGCAAGAGTTAGAGTTCTGATTTTCAGAAATGCACATTCAGTTATTCATGAAAAAGTGTGAGTGTCATCAGACATGCAATGTCTGCAAGTTGTTTACTCTCAACACAGGCAAATGACAGTTTACATTTCTCACTAGCTCATTGCCAGCACAGTAACCATAACTATATGCACACAATTTCACCCATTGCCAATGTAAATTAGTCTTGCAACAATGCAAGAACATTTTTGTATGGGAAATTTTTACAATTTGGAGCTAAAAGTTTGAAAGCCAAATTGTGATACCATAATTCTAACTTGACCTGATAACTTGACCTTGACTGTAATGAAATCTACAAACTGCCTTTGCTTCACTAAAATTTCACTTCAAATAAGTTGCCTCAAATTAGCAACATCACATTAAGAACACACCGTTTTTCCTAATAAAGACAAGGCCACTGAGGAGAATCTGACGGAATGTGAAGTTCTATGAAAGTCAATTGGGACTATATGCAAAGTGAGGTGCTGCCAGACATGCGTAAGGTAGCACAGTGTGGCCATAAAGGAGAAGAACATAGCTGTAATTCCCAGTGCACTCTAAAAAATTCACAGTACTTTTTGGAAGTACTCATTCGATGACAGTCCAGTCTCTCACCAGCTGGAAATTTATCAAAGTTTGCCCATCACAGTTTCTACTGACCCCTAACATGGTGTGGGGACCCAGTTTAGAGCGTGGATATTTGTTCTGGTAGCTTCTACAAAATACAGAATGTTGCCAGGACATCAGGGGTGTGTCTAGACTACATGGCTCGGTCGACGGAGCCATGTAGATGAGTGTACTCAGCAAAGGGAATGAACGGTTCTGGGGTCAGCTGATCCCCATCTAGACTATCATACTGTGCCAACAATCAGCTGATTGGCACAGCACGGCAGCCATTTTGATGTAAATGAAGCGGCAATTATTTAAATCGCCACTTCATTTCCCTTTGCCGAGTACACTCATCTACATGGCTCCGTTGACGGAGCCATGTAGTCTAGACACACCCTAAAAGTCCAGTTAGCATTGTACTAGTTTTATCACTATCTTTGTAGAGCAGTTGGCACTTTCAGTTCAAGTGTCAAAGATGAGAGTGAGCCAATCCTCTGTGCGTAGAGCACCTCCCCTATAAGAGTGGGGATGGTCAGCATTTCTTAGCATCAGCACCTTTTAATTCAGTACAGGAGGAATCTCTCAAGTATGGTACACTCTGGTCTGGCGATATCCATGGTCTGGTGAGATTTTAGTTAGCCGGACATCCACTTAGCATGGGTGTGTCCCATAATCCTATAAAGTTTGTTTAACCCCGGCTCTCAGTGTTCTGTGCTGTTATTTAGCTCTAATTTACCTGCAAATGTCTTCTATGAGCCCAGGAAGCAGTGAAAGTGTTGGTAATGCTGCTAGACAATAGTGGCCTCCCATAGGCCAGCAAACTCTGGTTTGGCACTGGTCAGGTCCTGAGGGTGCCGGACTAGAGAGGTTTAACCTGTACTAATTAGTTTGCACTTCCATTTACCCTGCAGCCCTTGCTATGATCACTATCAAATATTTTATTTAAGAGATATGGTAGATAATAGTAGCTGTGTCACACAGGGTGTGACTGAGATTTAGAGCTGATATGATCTTGGCCATTTCTTTATTTTGCAATCCCAGTCAAAACACATAATGATACTTTTCCATTTTTCAAGTACTCAGTTTTGTAACTTTTAGGTCTGATCATGCTCCCTTTAAAGTCAGTGAGACTGTTGTAACTGGCTTCAGCGGGAGCAAGATTAGACCCTAAGGATATGTGTGTGTTAGCAATGTATACGTTTTATACTAGCACACCGACATATGCACACAATGCACAACATAAATACATAACATATGACTCTTCATGCAGGAGTATTGAAAAATAGTTATTGATGTAGCCACAAATCTAACTTTACAAGTTTTATAAAAGACACAACAGGGTGTGTGCTTAATTTCAAAATAAGAGCACACTGTAGGTTGCACTGAGACTAGAGGCTGGGTATAAACTAGCATTTGGGTGTATTGCAAAATGTTTTGAAAGAGTCAGGCTTTCACCTTAAAAGTAATTAGCTGTGGAATTTATAGGTCAAAATATGAAGAGTTTGTCTCTGTCCTTTACAAAAGGTTGAGGTACTTTCTCTGAGTATGTCCGCACGGCAAAAAACAAAAACAAACATATGGCAGCAAGTATACAGACTCGGGCTCTCACTATGGCACTAAAAAAGCTGTGCAGACATTCAGGCATGGGTTGAAGCTTGGGCTTTGAAATCCAACTACTTCCTCAGGTCCAGAGCCTGAGGCTAGGTCTAGATTGCAGGTTTCTTTTGGAAGAAACTTTTCCGGAAGAGATCTTTCTAAAAAACTTCTTCTGAGAGCGTTCACACTGCCAAAGCGCATCGAAAAAGTGATCTGCTTTTTCAAAAGTTAGCATCCACATGCTTAAAGGAATCCCCCTGGACAGCCGTTTCTCTGCTTCTGCTGTGTGCTTGCCTACCTCTTTGGAGGTACCTCTTGCAGTGCCTGCTTTGGTTGCCCAGCTTTTTTGGATGCCACAGCTTTTGTCGTTGTGCCATGGAGCAAGAGCTGCCCCTGGACATGCGATGGCCCCACATGGCCATGCTGCAGTTTCTGCAACAGTTTGTGCACGCTGCCTTCCTGGCCCTGCATGAGCTCAATGTCGAGCTCATTCTTGAGACTCTCTCTGTGTGCAGGATCAAGACCTGTGCAATCGCACACCACAGTGGAGAGGTGTTTCTGGAGGCAGGACACCGGTTCTGACTTGTGGAACTAGCTGCTTATGGAGCAGTGGGATGACAAGCAATGGTCCAAAACTTCTGCATGTGGAAGGCCACCTTTTTGGAGCTGTGTGCCTGGCTCGCCCCTGCCCTCCGACGACGTGACACCCACCTGCGGCCTGCCACCCCCCTGGAGAAGCTCCCCACCCCAGACAGTTACCGGTTGGTGGGCAACCAGTTCAGCATGGGGGAGTCCACCGTTGTGGCCCTCCTCATGGAGGTAAGACACTCTTGGGCTGCAGTCCCTGCAAGGGGGGGAAGTCCTGGAAAAGGGGGACCCTAGGGAAAGGGAGGCTATGGGGTGGGGCTTGGAGTAGGGGGGGAAGTCCCGTCCCCAGGGGGTTGCGCTGTCCCACCCTCACACAGCCCAGCTGCTGAAGGGGTAGCCTCATAGAGGGTGGCTCCAAGGGTGTTTGGGAAGGTAGAAAGGGGAGGGGGTGGGCACCTCCTAAGGGCTCAGGCACTCCCTCTCATTCTCTATTTTGTGTGGGGTTTGGTCTCCCTTCTGCAGGTTGTGAGGGCCATCAACTCCATCCTGCTGTGCAGGGTTAGCCGCCTGGGAGACGTGGACCCAATTCTGGCTGGATTTGCTGCCCTGGGGTTACTGAACTGCAGTGGAGACATAGTTGGGACCCACATCCCGATCTGTGCACCAAATTGAGCGGCCCAGTATATCAACCACAAGGGCTATTCTTCTATGGTGCTGCAGGCCCTGATCAATCACCGTGGGCATTTTACTGATATTTTTGTAGGGTAGCCAGGCAGGGCACATGATTCCTGCGTCTTTCGTAACTTGAGCCTCTACAGCAAGCTGGAGGTGGGCACATTCTCCCCCACTGTGACTTTGCGGTTGGGGACATGCAGATGCCACTGTGCATCGTGGGGGACACGGCCAATCCCTGATGCTGTGCCTAATGAAGCTGTACACTGGCCACCTGGACCCCAGCAGGGACCAATTTAATTCCCACCTCAGCTGGGTGAGGATTCAGGTGGAGTGCGCCTTCGGCTACCTCAAGGCACGTTTCAGGTGCCTCCTGACCCACCTCGATGGTTGTCTCGGCATGTTGTGTCCTCCACAATATTGTGGAGAAGAAGGGGAGGCCTTTCTCCTGGGGTAAAAGGCAGAAGCCAGCCACAGGAAGAGACCCTTTGAGCAGCCGCGGACAGCTGCCATCCACCATGCCAATCAGTCTGGGTTGTGCATCCGGGAGGCCCTGAAGGAGAATTTCTCTCAAAGACCCCAGTAACTTTCCCCAGGGCCTCCCCACAAGTGGCTTGCTCCAATATTCCTTTCCCACCACAACCCCTCCCTTCTCTCCTTCCCTGACCTCAGAATAAACATGCCTGTTTGGATTTCAACACAACTTCTTATTTGTCTTTCAAAAAAACCTGGGGAGGGAGAGAGGGGCTCATAACTTGGAGGGAGGCTTAGGGCTGGCAGTGGCATGGGGGGCAGCTGGATGTGCCACGTTGGGTGTGAGGACCTCGTCAAACTTGGGGTTGGGTGGGTCCTGGGACCACAGGGGGTAGGCAGGAGGGGAGGATGGAGAGGGGTCAGGGATGGCAGATGGGCATCACTTGGGGAGGGGGTATGGGCATTGCTTGGGGGGCAGGAGGGTAGTAGGCAGGAGCAGCGACAGCAGCCTGGTGTGCCATTATTTCCCACATGATGGCACACATGTAATCACCCTGCCACATGAGATAGTCCCACATGCGGGTTGGCCAGTCTGCGTCCTCCCGGACCTTCTGCGCCAGGGTCTGCTGTATGTCATGTAGGATGCCCACATGCTGCCTGGTCAGCTCATCCTGGAGCAATTTCGGGTCTCCGGGGGTCAGGCGGCTGGCTTGGGTGGTGTGGCTCACCCCTCAGTTCCAGCTGGTCCGGCTGGGGAGAACACAAAGAGGGAGAGGTGGCCAGTCATCCATGCAGAAGCTGTCCCTGAGACCCTGCCCTCCTCTGTGAGCAGCGACCAACAGTCCTCGGGCCAGAGGAAGGGATGTCCCAGGAGCAAGGCCATGTGTGGCCTGCTGCCCTGCCTCAAAGGGGCTCCTAGGTGCCCAGGGAACCATGATGTCCACTCCTCACCCCCATGGACAAGCAGGCAGGGGAAGTGTCTGGCCACAATGGGATCTCATGAGTGGCAGAGGAACCGGGAGCAGCCTGGCCCTCCCTGGGGCCCTCACACACACCAGCACCTCGCAGCACTGTCTGCTGGAGTGGGTGGTGCCTAGCCTGCTTCCAGCTCTGGCCTCCCACCCCTGGGCCAGATGTGCGTGAGGCCTCCTCTGGGCCTTGGAGGACTCAGGGGCTGCCTGCTGAGTCTGCACGGCGCTCAATAATGCTGCACATGGTTCCACATGCACGGATTGCAGCATGATGTCCAACCCGAGTAGGCTGAGCGACGCCCTATGTGTGTGTAAAACTGTGAGCACTCACCTGAAGATCCCTTCCCAATGTCAGACGATGCCTGCAATACATCCAGGCTCATGGCAACCGGCTCCAGGGACAGTGTCACTGTGTCCGTGTCATCATCATTCTCCTTCTGCTCCTGCTATTCATCATCGTTCTCCTCCTCTGCGACCTACGGCCGGGCGATGACAGGTGTCTCCAGCCCAGAGTCCACGACAATGGGTGAAGAAAGGGCTTGCCCACCCCCAGGATCTGGTGCAGCTCTGTGTAATAGGGGCAGGTTTGGGGTTCTGCTCCAGAGCACGAGCTGCACTCTCTGGCCCTCACATATCCCTAGCGGTGCTGCTTCACCTTACTCCAGACCTGTTCTAAGGTTTGGAGTGTGTGTCCGTGCTCCGCCAGGGCCTTGGCCATCTGGCCATAAATGTCGGCATTGCGGTGGTTAGAGCAGAGATCTTGTAGGGTCTCCTCGGCCCCCCACAGACTGAGGAGGGGCAGGATCTCTGCTCCAGACTAGGAGGGTGCCCACCGCTTGGTACCCGTCGGTGGGTCCTGGGAGGTCATGCTCCCTGTGAGGGCCAGGAAGGCTTCAGGGGGCCGTGGCAGGGAGAGCTGTGTGGTCAGGATGCTGCTCCAGGGCCAGCTTCCTGCCACAGGGCTTGTCCAGGGTGCCTGCAGCTTTAAGAGGGGCCAGGAGACAGGAACTACAGAGTTGTGATTACTTTGGATGGAGTGGCCACCAGGGCACCTGTGTTATTTCCTGGAAGCCTGATACTGGTGAGTGATCCGAGGGTGGGTGAATGATGGGCCTGAAAGGACTTACCTTTTTAGATTTACCCCTGGAAAGGGGGCACTGTGTACAATGCGAAGGGGCTACTGGGGAGGCCAGAGTTGGGGAACTGAGCAGCTTGGATTATTTATACCCTCAGAGGGAGAACCTTTTGAGTCTGCTCCCTAGGTTATTGGCCCTAACATTCAGCTAAACATGTAATCATTGTTTTATGCAGCTATGGTCCATTCCCGGACAGCGTTAAGTAGTCACCATGGGTTTGGTGTGCAGTGTGGCAAAGAGTCCAGAGCTGAGACACCTTCCGTGTGGGATGGGAAGATCTATCCGCCTGCGTGAGGGATAGCTTGGATGCCGGTCAGCCCCAAACCTCAGTGAGACTCGCGGGAGGGGGACACCCCTCCTGAGGTCAGACAATATCTTATCCCTCGAGCTACTGTACAGGACCTTTCCACTGCCATAGAAATCCTGGAGCAGCGCGGACTTGTTGAACCTGTAGTTTCCTGTGCCAATGCCCCAGTATGGCCCATATGTAAACCTAGTGGCTCCAGGAAGTTAACCATTGACTACTGGGAACTAAACTGTATCACTTTCCTCCTTGCTGATTTGGTAGCCTGCCTCCCTGAAATGATTGCCTGAATCTAGCCAGGAGACGGATGGCTCTTGGTGCTGGATGTTTCTAACGGCTTTTGGTCTATTTCTTTGGCCCCAGGAAGCCGATGGAACACTGCTTTTACTTGGCAGGGATCACAGTTTCAGTGGTGTGTTTTGCCTCAAGGCTGCAGTAATGCCCCTACCCTATTCCACTGGGAACTTAAATGAGTTCTGGATGCACTGGGTCCTGTCAGTCAGCAATGCATTCAGTATGTGGATAATATCCTCATCGGGGGAGGGAGAGGGAGGAGGTAGCTGCTGCTACTGGGAAAGCTGTTCAATGTCTTGCACATGCAGGACTGAAATTAAATGGGAGGAAAGCTAGGCTAGTTCCAACTTCTGTAACCTTCCTGGGAGTAACCACTAAGCCAGGAAGGAGACCCATTGATTCTAATTGGCCTGGAGTAATTGCTCAATTATCTCACTCCACTGATGCTAAGGCTCTAGCTTCTTTTATTGGGATAACTAGTTTTGCAGAGAATTCATTCCCCGATGCAGCATTCTTGTACGACCCTTGCAAGCTTTGCTCTGGGCTCCCAAGTGGGAATGGACACCAGAGCTGGGGTGACTGGGCAGCCAGAGGGCACAGCTCATGTCCAGTGAGCCCAATCACAGGGTGTCTCCCTGCCGTGGTTTCTCCCACATTACTCCGCTTTGTCCACAGTTGGACATTGAACCTGCATCATTCCTGACCATGGTGTCCTTCACAGGGCACCATCCTCCAGCAATGTTCACTACAGTTATCTCTCATTCCCCTTCCAGGGGTATATCAGCAGTCATGTGGTTCACCCGCCACTGTGGCCAGCTGTGGCCTCCAAGCCCTGCCCCTTCATCTCTGGGGCAAGCCACAGTTTGTTTGGGCCACACCTTAGTGGCAAGACCCTCCGGTGGCAGCCTTGTCCTGCCCTTCTCTACTCCCCTTCACTGCCTTCTGTTCCCTGTGCCTCTTTGCACCCTCCTGACCCTAGTGGCAAGGCCAGTGGCCTGGCAGGTATCAGGCAGGAGCCTCCCTCTTCTAGCACCCCTGAGCCTGCCCAGTACTGCCCTCGCAAAGGTGCTTTGTCCTTCACCTTCCCTGGTCAGGGCCTAACTGCCTGTCTTTGCTGGGCAGCTCCTTATATGCAGGGCTACCCCAGCAAGCACCCTAACTAATTCTTTACAAGCTTCTCCTGACTGACTAGGGCTCTGCGTAGGCTCCTTCCAGCCTGCCTTAGCCCCTTCTGGCCAGTGTGAGGCAGTTGCCCCACCACAGGGAGAAGCCAGTGGCCAAGCAATTGAAGGTGTACTTGGCCTTTTGGGCCACCTGGCACACAACCTTGGGAGAACGCACACTAACCAACGTATCCTCACCATCTAGTGTGTCGCTACAGTCTGGGTTTGGGGGTGGGTGCCAATGGAAATGATCCCAAGAACCAGCATGGCAAGTCCAGGTTGGAAATAACAATGCTCGGTTTTTAGTAGGGTTAGAAGTATACTGTCCGCACATGGGGTTAATATGGGCAGAACCTGGGAATACCTGGGAGGGATGCCACAAGAACCACTGTTCCTACAGTGCACAGAGATGGTATTCCCTCACCACTGGGTGGAACAGGGAAATATAATTTGTTGGGATGGATCAGCAATGCTCAATGGTCAGGCTCTGGAGGGTAGAAAACACACGAAGAGGTGGGGATCTGGTTTGGGTAATTTTTCCCTGTAATTTGGACACTCCCCCTACCGGATTTGTATAGCAGCTGTGCACCAACTTAATTTGACCAGACACTTGATGGTGCCGACTAATTGGACTAAAACAATACCTGACCTGATCCTCCCTGGATAAATTGGGACACTTTGAAACACCTGTTAAAGCAGCTCCAAGTTGACCGACATCAAGCTCAAGTCCTGGAACCTCAGGCCATCCAAGGGACTAATGCATTCCAATTAGCAACTGAACTGCCTGCAAACTGTGCTTGGACTGATATAGCCTGTGCCTTTGGATAGGCCTAATGAACACTCATTCGCTTCTCAGTCAAATTGTTTATACTGTTGGAACTTTGCTCCTACTAATCGTATTATTCATTTTATTGATGGCAGGTTTAAGGCCATGCACTGCCCTGGCTGCTCCTTGGAAATCATAGCTGTAGGCTAGTAACCAACCCCGTGTGTGACCTGCCTTTCCCATCTCCCCATAGCATGACTGGTGGAACAAGGTACTAGGCAGTTAGAGCCAGGGTCTCTAGCCTGGCTATCCCACCGGCCAGTGTGCAGGAAGGAGGGGTGCCTGGGCCCTTCTTTGAAAGAGAGTGGGGGAGTGTTGGGGGGTGTAAAATTAATAGGGGTCTGGAATGGCCTTGTTGCATTAGTGGTTCAGGGTTCAACCACAGCATTACGCTTAAACATGCTTTTTCCCTTCGTTTTGCAGCCTAGGAAAATAGATAAGCATGCAGCTGCTCTAGTTTGTTGTGTCTTTTGCTGATCTTCATTGGAGCTGTATAAATCTTTTCAGGGTTAAAATCCTTGTAATCTCTATAACCTTTTAGTTTGTTGCATAGGACTGTGCTGATTTAATTAGAAATTCTGTAAATAGTAATTAGGACTGGGTATAAATGTATTCATTATTTGCTTATTGATATTCATTTTATGGAAGTTAACATTACTACATAAGGCTTTCGGAACAGTAGAGATAGACTTATGAATTAACATACTAAAATGGATAAAAGGGTGTGATTAACACCAGCTTGTTGCCACTCGGACAGTGTATGAATGTCTGAGGTAAACGTGAGTAGGCAATAAAGCTGTCCCTTTTATCCCATCTGCTCCTGGGTCGCCTGATCCTTCTCTGATTTTGGTCACCAAATGAAATGAATAGATAGCAGGTTTAAAATAAACCAAATGAAGTATTTCTTACAACAGTCAACTTCTTCAAATGGAAAGAATTATTAAAATGCAACTTCCTCTTATTTTGAACACCATGCTACTTTTACTGAATTGGGATGGTTAACCTGGACCCTGTGAGTTTTAGTTTCATTTCTAGTTACTTTCATTTTGTGGTTCTCAAGTTCTTAGTGCAACAGGAGGACAGTTGCTGAACTGGAAAAACACAGCAAGGAAATGTATATTCTGTGGGCATAGTCGTTAACCAAACTTGCGAATAATGCTTGCCTGAGAATTTCTCCCCCGCTATTTATTTTTACTTTTTTATGATCTATTGACATGATAAAGTTGAGCAAGAAATTATTTTTATGAAACTAAATAGTAGCTGATTATAAATGTCCACAGAAAAAGTTCACTTCTGGCTTCCTGAAATACAAAGCCAGTTGAGGCTCGTGCTGAACAGTTCTAGGGTCTCTCTTAGCCAAATAAACTATGGAATGTCAATGGGAAAAATAAATACATTCATGATGCCAATTTGCATCCAAGTGTCTTACAGAAGGAGAGAGGGGAGTAGCTAACAGAGGGGAATAGCTAACAGTGCTGTAGCCTGGTTCACACTGGAGCTTTACAGCACTATCGCTGCATTTGAGATGTGTGTGTGTTTTTTACATCCCTGTGCCAGAAACTTACAGCACTATAAAGTGCAGTGTAGACTTAGCCTGAATAAAAATAATTCTAGATATAAAATAACCGGTGTGCAATTCACATTTGGGATCAAGTGTAATTATAGTGTTGGCTTAGAGGTTGGAATGGAAGTTGTGGGAATATACTTTCATTTTTATGTCGTAACCCCCTCCCCCCCCGGCTAAAATTACACA